GGTGCACTTTCTGAGCGCTGTGAGCCGATTGTCGGTGAATAAAATGCGTTGACTGCTGCCTACTGGTAATATATATATACCGTTCATTGATTGACGAATGAACGAAGCTCACCGAACGCTACTATTGCTTGTGACAGAAACGCAGTCTCCCATTAAAAAGGATGTTCGCACTTAGCTACTCTCTGCGTTTTCGCATTGCCGTGTGTCATGTTTCTTTTGTTTTTATTTCAGGTGTTGAGGTTGTGTCCCGTCTACAATGCACCAACCACCTCAAACCCCCCAAAAAGGAAGGAATCCTGTATTTTTGGGTGATGAACCCAAAAATATAGTGATTACTCATCGGCATTCTTGTATTACTAGTTTCTTTATGGAATAAACGTAGGACAGTTGATAAGTTTATTCAGGAACGCTACGTGACTTACAGCGCTTAAGCAGGCTTACTCCTATAACAGTATGAAAAGGTAGTAGTTCAATTTGCAGCTTTCTCATACTGATTATCTGCATCCCTGTCATGCGAAAGTTGGATAATTCTATGAAACAAAGGGTTTTTTTTCGAGCGAATGTGTGTGCACTTTTTCCGTCAGTCTAGTACGACCACACCAGAACGCTCAAGACAATGTGAAAAAAAAGGTGACGTTCTCCTTGAAATCACATGACATATGTGACGCGTGCCATCGGGAATAATTTTGACAATCCGGCCTCTTTTAAACAAACCTAAATGTAAGAACTCGGGGAGGCAATAAGGAAACTCGAACAAAAAAGGTATTACAGTGCTTGAGTCAGCACTTAGTCTGGCTTCGAAAAGTGAGTTTTCAGAATACAATTTTTAATTCAAGTTTTCTAATTGCCTCACTCCTATCCCAACGAAGCAGACTTCTGCCAAATGTTCACCTTTGATAAAAACACTGGTCTATATCTGTATAGATGTCGCCCAATTCTAAAATTGCGCACGGCAACTCAAGTTTAGCCAGCTCCGTGTCATTCAGTCGAAGTACTAAAGTGCCAGAATTTACTACACAGCAGTGTCTTGGGACTAGGACTGTACAATACAAGGTTATCTCAAGCACAAATAAAGTTCGTCGCATAACCGATAAGGAAGGACGCGACAATTTTGTGTTGAAGTAGACACCTAACAATTCAAAACATCCCTTTATCCCTGAGTCGCTAAACGCTGCATTTACACGGTACAAATTATTCCTCGTGTTTGGGAAGATGCCAATTGCACTTTAAGATGGGCTTTAGCTTTAGGGACAAACCACCCTTTGAGCACAAGCATGGCGTACGCACACGTGCTAGCCTATGTGGATAGCAGATGACGCAGGGAGCAATCCACACTAGGTGCGCTTCAGCCATTGGCCACAAGGCAGTGATTCCACTCGATCCTGGGGCGAATGGCTGCGTTGGCGCATGCGTGTGTACGTCCTAAGTACTCTCGCGTGTACACAGTGTGGATCAGCGTGAAAGGAGGCACGTGTGTCTGACCGAAGATGTCGGGGAATAACTAACAGTAATTTACGCCCTTCGGAAAGGTTATTCGACGATATAGATAACCATCGCCAATACAACAGTTATGTATTTGCCACCATAGTTTTGAAGGGTTTGGGGTGTGATAGAGGTCGACATAACAAGTCTATAAGGGGAACAATCCGTGTGTCTTTCTTTTGCTGCAAAGGCATGTCAGTGACGGATATTGAGGACACCTTGTAAAACGATGAACACATGGACGAATCATCAGATGGAAGAGGTGACGTGGACAGAGCGTCACCAGAAAAATGTTCACGTCTACACTAATAAACGACGAAAACATCATACTCCTGCAGACATGGTGCCCAAAGGGCAAGCCAGCTGGATGCATCTTTTAAGGAGGAAAGCCAGCATAATGCACGGTGATCTGGGAAATCACTAAATGGGCGTCGTTAAAACTAGGGTCGAACTTTGTGTACAGCCCATTTTATGGCTAGGCCTTTTTTTTCGGTCACATAGTAGTTCGCTTCGGCTTTGGCGAGTGCATGGCTGGCGTAACAGACAACGTTTTCGTGAAATTCAGGTTGACGCTGTGCAAGCGCAGCACCGAGACTGGCATCGCTAGCGCCTGTGAGCAGTTTAGTCGGAGCGAGTGGTTAAATGCCGCAGTATAGGAGGAAGTTAAAAGGCAGCGAAGTGTGGTGAATGCAGTATCACATGCTGATGACCACTCCGCGAAGACACGGCCGCTGCAAAGGAGTGAAGTTAAAGAAGCACAGGCATCAAATTTACTCGTGTGAAGATTTTTCCGTTAACGAGTAGCTATAGATTCCGTAGCAGCGAATTTCGACCTAAAATGCCACTGAGGCATGAATAACTATGACTTTTATCGATTTATATTACTGGTATATAGCAAGATTCAAAAAGGCCAGCGATCCCATCATTTTTAGCGTTTGGAGCACTACCAGGGGTGCTACCTCACGGGCACCTCCAGATCGCGCCACCTGCTGACCACTTCTCCACAGAAAAGAATGACATCAGGCTCAGATGCTCCGCAAACATTTCGTTTGCTAGGCGGACATATTCAGTCATGTCTTGTCATCTGCATTGCTGTCGTCGCCGTACATATTGTCGGCTTGGGTTGAATACAATACCTTGAAGCTTGGAATCCCCGTGATCCAAGTGGTCGCAAAATATTTTTGCTTCGATCGACCATTTACAAAACAGCGATTCAAAAATGGACGCAATTTCAAGCTGTACTGAGGAGGTGCCTGAAAATGCTTGCTTCAGTCATGTTCGCTCGTGTGTCTCAGTTAGCTATATTACTGTGTTTCGGCGTGCAGCATTCAGGTATACGCAAAAGGGTCAATGGAAGATTGCTATTGGGAATGAACATCAGGAGAGAAATAAAATACGTTTTCTGCTTCCCAGATTCTTCTTCGTGTCTCCCGATGGCCCCACCTAACCAGCATCTCGTGGTTGCCGCGGCCAGAACCCGGTATTACGCCAACGCAAAGACGTCTACACACTAAAATTCAATGATGCGCGCGTGTTACTTGTTAGCGATGATATCTCTCTATACGCTGTTCCACTTTGATACCTTGTGGTCGTGTTTGCCTGTAACATACACGTGATATGAAAAGACACTCTCATTGCGCTTCTTTCGCACTTCGAACGAGACTACTGCAACTCACAACGGTTCCACGACATGCAGTCTGGCAAGCACATATTGAATCATGCTCTTTTTTTTCTCCATTCTTTCAAAGGTCGTTCGCATCTTGGTAATTTGACGAAATCATTCAAAGCAGTGCGACGAAGATCAGACGTGGCAAGCGAGTGCGTTTCCAGGCATCGGCATCATTCAGCGCCACGATAAGAACAATCGGATCGTAGAGGTAATCACTGCTAGTGCGTCGTCGCTCAGGATGGCATGTGTGGAATGTATCCCAGCGAACACGTGGCACTAGTGTTGATGTCACTGGGCAGTTCATTTTCATTAAACTCTTGTACCCTGTTTGCCGTCAAAATAAAATAACTTCAACGCGACGGATTTGATTCAAATTTCGTCATGACGACCTACGCGCGCTAAGATTCGCAGAATGGGCGAATCACGATTTTGAAATTTCATGTTATTGCTGCTCCAAAGGTGCTGTGGTGGATAAAAAGGGGCGGATAACATGGCGAAAGTACGAACAAAGGCAGAAAAAAATCCCAACATATCCACAGACTGCATGATGAGGACTGGGGTGAAGCAACCGACAGTCTGCATGTTCTTCCGTTTGTCCGTTCGGTCTTGCTTACATCCGTCCATGCGTCCATCCCAGCGTACATCCGTCTCTCCGTGCATCCGTCCGTCCATGCATCCGTCTGTCTATGCTTCTGTTCATGCGTCCGCCCGAGCGTCCGACCAAGCGTCCGTCCATCTATGCGTCCATCCGTGCGTCCCTCCTTCCATCCGTGCGTCCATCCGTCCGTGCATCTGCCTGTCTTTCAGTCCGTCCATCCGCGCGTCTGTCCTTCTGTCCGTTCATCTAGTCAACACTCCCAAGTACCACCATTTGACATATTTTCATCATATATTGATTATATAGAGGTACCCCCCTCCAGTGGACATTCCAAGGACTAAATGACAGGTGGCATGGCCAGACTGAAGCAGCGGCATGCATGCCCCCTCCCCCTTACGGCCTGCTCTTCGTGTCTAGTCACCACTTTCAACCACCGCTAGTTCATGGTACTGCGGCCTAACCCTCGCTAAATCTGCCTCAAACTAAGAAGCTTCACCGAGAGAGTTTAGCCCGGCAATCTTTTCTGGTCAGATACTGCTCAAAGTGCGTCATTTTGTTACTAGTGCCAAGTCACAAATCTACGCCAACACCTTTGTATTCATAAGCTATTGATATATAGTTGCCATGAACAATTTCCTCTCTCTCTAATAAAAAAAGAGTCCTTGCTTACTGGACTTCAAAAGTTACATAGTTGTTTGGTAGAGTGGCATCACCTGAGCCTTGAGCATGCATTAGCGCTCGGTTATAAAAACACATCCGCAGTCTTCTTTAGGGCATTCTGGATCATTGGAAAGTTTTGGTGTACTCAATGGGGCGAGTAATTTTGCTAAAACCGTTTAATTGTGGCAACGCGAAGCGGCCACAGCATGGTTGAAACATTACAATTTCGTTTTCATGTGTGATTTTTTTTTCTATACAGAATGAGTTGGTGTGTGCTACCAGGGCTGCTGGATAAAAAAAAAGTTGTTTTTCTTGTCCAGCAGACGTGATAGTACATGGGTGCTGCTTTAGTCAGAACTGTTCCTCCAGGTTTGTCGCCTATACTAATACAAACTCGTTTCTTTTACTTTCATTCCTTCACCACCCGTTTACCCTTCCAAGGTACAGGGTAAGAGACCGCCAATTTTCTCTAGACAACATTCTTCTTTTTTTGTACATGTTTTCTCTCTGTCTTAGTTTACTTTCGTGACATGAAATAACCAATCATAGGTGCTATACAATTTACATGCAACTATGTAAATATTGTTTCAGAAAATGGACGCCACTTTGAACATTTACTGCGAGTACTTGAAAGAAAAGAAGAATAGATCATTCAACACCGAATTCTTCAAACACGTGGCTTTCAAGGCTGTCCACGGATTTGTCACGACTGGTCTGGCGGCTGCTGCTATTGCCTTGGCTGTGGTAGACCTGCCCATCGTAGCCATTGCGCTTGGAACCACTGGAGCCGTGTCTCTGACCGCGCACTTTATCCAGGTGGTCGTCGAAAAGCAACTTGCCAAACGCAAGGTGCTGATCTTCATTGTTATATTTCAGAGTATTAGAGTGGTAGACCTCAGAAAGTTTCTAGCAACATAACGTATAAATCAATGCAACGCCCTAACTTTGGCGCTCCTTTTCAGAGAGATAGCTGTTATGAGATACGCCACGGCTTACGGGCGTGCCGTAGTTGTTCGCTGCCACCGCCAGTGTACGTAATCTCTATACCACAAGATCACAAGAAAAAAATACAAACAAACAACATCAAGAACACGATGTGATTTTAAACCAGGTTTTCTGCGTGTCAGCCCAGCAAACTACCACTGAGCCACGTCTGTGTTCTCAACTCTGGTACAAACTGGCCTTAGACATTCTTGATGTGGGGAAAAGAATGGCAATATTATGAGTAATGAAGCGTTTCGGAACAGCGAAGGAACGATCAGATGTCACATAATGCGAATCGTGCCAAGTGGCGACGAGAATCGATCCATCGTCGGATGTTCCAACCCATTACACGAGCTTGATTTTGCTCATTATTTAACACTGACGCATACCCAATGTGCGGAACTGTGGATTACAAACTCTTCTGGCGTAAGTTTTTGTTGTAGTCAGCCACAGCACAAGAAAACTGCACTGAGTTTCTTTGAAGTCCGCAGTGGGTACTACGCTTCTCCGAAGAATGACTAAGAATGGCATAATGAATGCCTGCCTACTACACATTGATTTATGGCGTATTTATTTATTTATTATACCCTCAGGGTTTTCACATTACAGAGGGGAGGGGCATTTTACATGTTAAAATGGGAAAAAACACTTGATAAATATATACAAGAACAAAATTTCAATTATCGACAGAATAATACAGAATTACGTTATATATAAACTACGTCAACAAAGACAACGTAGCAGTAGCGATAATGCAGGTAGTACATGTTCAAGCACTAAGCAAAGAACAACAAACACTCTCAAAAACAACAAAAAAAGAAAAAGGACATGACACACATATACACATACACATACATACATCCATATATACACATATATAACACAACGCAGAAATCAAGTAGCGCCAAACAGATTCTGTAAAAAACCTTGAAGCGTGATGTGTCGGTTATTGCGGTAGCTGATCGTGGGAAAAGATTCCATTGAGATGTAGTTCTCAGAATAAAAGCGTGCAAATGGGTTGTGGTTCTGCATTAAGGAACATGAACTTTTTGTGGGTGATCGATTCTGGGTGATATGAATGAGAGGGTTTAAATAAATGTTCACGAAGGCTATTGTTCTGATAATAAAGCTTATGAAAGAGACTTAGCCGGGCTATTTTACGCTGAATGGCGAGTTAAGGAAGGTTGAGCTGAGATTTCATTAGTGTAATACTGGCCGTGCGGGTATAATTGGACAAGATAAAGCGAACTGAACGATTCTGGACTGCTTCCAACTCATGTGTTAGTGTACTGCCACCAGGATCCCAGATGGATGATGCGTAGTGGGTACCCTGCCAGTGTGCGTTTGGAGTAGCTATTCAAACAATGTTCAAAAAAGGCTCTGAAAAGCCGCTTTTCCTGCTTTCCCTGTCACAGTGGTGCGCGTTCCAAACATGCCTGGCTTTTTTTTTTGATATCGAATATACTTCGAAACGACTCAGAAGTCATCGCTGTGGCACATTGACGCCGGGGACACCCGGAATAACAAATTGCCCATTGAACTTACTAATAAATCACTGAACACGATTAGTTTAGCTGTTTAACCATGAGCCCACCGCAAAAGGAAGGCACATTCTGATAGACGCACACATACGGTGCCGTTCTTAAAATAATTTATTTTTTTTTGAACGCAAGGCCTTCTAATGAAACCTATCAGAGGAATAAAATGGCGAATAACCCTACTGAAGCGATCCGCATGCGATGTTCAATAATTCCGTATGCTTCCGTAAGTATCTTACGGAAATATAAGGAAATTATATGAGAAACGTAGGTATTTTTACGGAAACATACGGAATCATTGGACATCGCATACGGAACGTTTCAGTAGGTAAAATAATCCATGCGATGACAGTGTGACGAGTATAGGAGTTAAAAATTTCCTCATAGTTAAGAACCAAAGCATGATCTTAATTCAGACAAAGCGCAGATAAATACATACATAAATCAATGTAGAAAGACGATATGAGCCAGACCTTTGAAAAGCGTGCCCAGCACTGTCACAGCTAAAGCTGAAAGAGCGGCTTTTCAGAGCCTTTTTAGCACACTTTGGATAGCTACTGCACGCACATTTGCAGTGCGTGCAGTAGCTACGACAGTAATCGTTGGGTAGTAGGCAGGCATTATCAACTACGTCATGCTTCGTCATTCTTTATAGAAGCGTAGTACTCGCTGTACACTTGCAAGGAACTTTGTGCAACATTTTTGGGTTGCGGCTGATGACGATGAAAAATTATGCCAGAAGCTTTTGTAATCCCCACAATCCCCAACGACGGGTATGTGCCACAGTTAGTTGGTGAAAAGGATCAGGCTTTTGTAAAGGGTTGGAACATGCGATGACCCACTCGTTGCGCAATTGACATTATGTGACACCTTGTTGTTTATTTGCTGTTCTAAAACGTTTTAACACTCATATTACCGCGATTTGTTTCCCGACATCAAGCCTGCCTACGGCCTGTTTGCAAAGGAGTTCCTAGCGCCAGCGTGGTTCAGGGCTAGAATACTGGACTGGCGCGCAGCGAACCCGGGTTTGAAGCCCATTGTTTGCTATGTTTTTTTATTTACTCTGCGTGTTTTTTTTTATTTCGTGCGACAGTGGTATACGGACACTGGCGGTGGACAACTAAGGCTCGCACGCGACCCGTGTTCTGTTCTCAGAACAGCTTTGGCTGAAAGCGTTTAACGCATACAAAGTGAAAATGGGCCAGGAAGTGCTAGCAAGACAGCACACACTCCAGATGTAATCCGTCCTTCACAGAGCACGAAATTGAAGACATGCTGACAGAACTACACCACTTTAGAGTGTATTGTGCAACGGGTTGTAGGGACACTTGCCGGACATGCGCCACAAAGCACTAACATACAACAAGGAAGAAAACGGGCGTGTCAGCAGCGTTGAAAGTTTTCGCTTTGCTCTGTTACGTTTTTTGTGTACCGTTGATGAGTGGCCCAGTCCCGGTCTCAGCCTTAACAACTTTCCGGTCTTCAGCCTTAAAAACTTCCACATAGTATTTGGATTTTGTCTGCGTTTAAAATTTCGCGAGCCCTCTGCTTGCCATGCTTGACAATATCAGCCACAATGACGCGAATACATATCTATGCAACCTAACTAAGAGTAAGTTTTGTACATTGTCTTAGGCGAATTACACGGAAGCACTGCCACATTTGTAGGACGTTGTATCACCGAATATATTTTAAAGAAACTTTCTTTTCACAACGAATAACATTAATATGTACTATCTCTACTGAAATATGGCACATTTATTTCACTAAATTTCTAAATTTTGATTAAAACTTTACAGTAAAGCACGTATTATAGATAACAGTTGACATGAAAATAGAGAATATAACGTAAGATTGTTCGGAAATAAGTGTAAATACAGGAATGACATACGAATCTTTTCTTTAGCTCTAAGAAGTCCCACTTGTACATGAGTAAGAAGCAAATAGGTATTGGGGTAGCTGCTAACAAAGGCATTTTCAAAAGCTTGACAGTAAAAATTGTGGTTCCTAATTTTGAATAAAGTATTAAAAAAGCCTTCCCCCCACACTCGCGATGCAGTTTAATCAGGGACATTCTGGGTCATTCCTACTAACATGCAGTGTAACAAAATACATAATCGAAACAAATTAAATTTTAAAGCAAACCTTTCTGCACGCCCAAAGATGATGATGATGATGATGATCCTTGACACTCTGGCGCACACCCACAAAGGGGGATCGGCCAAGAACCGGGCGGCAGGATCTTAACTAAAAGGCTAATGGTTTTTCAAAGAAAACGTAATTTTGGGCTAAAAAAAATATAGAAAGGAAAGCCGAAAATCGAAAAAGGAGTATATCTGAGCAGGGAGCGATGCAGGCCATCAGATGCGATTTGAGACAGAGGTAATGGTGGGTCTATATATATATATATATATATATATACATATATAAATATATACATATATATATATATATATATATATATATATATATATATATATATATATAGTCTAGTAGATCCTCCGTGAGCGGTCACAACGTGGTTTATTTCGACGTTTCGGCCTAGAGTCTGGCCTTCATCAGGAATAAAGATACAGTTTGTCGGCGCTCAGCTTTATACAATCTCAAATCAGAGGGCAAGGTAAGAGGAAAAAAAAAGAAAAGAAAAGGAAAGAAAAAAGATAAAAATAATATACGGTGAACGCCCCTCGGGTGCCCCCCTTCCACTTTTCCCTCCACTCCCCCCCATCTCTCTCCCCCCTCTCCCCTTCACCTTTCTGATGTCAGCGGTCTGTGTATGTTTCCGTTCACTAGCGCATTACTCCCGATCAGACGGTCCCTCCTGGCACTGGCGGTTCGGTGTTGGGCAAAAAAGAGCTTTTCGGGAAGTCCTAAGCCTTTAACTGCTCGGGGTCCCGTAAACAATTCGTCGTAGAAGGACGGGGGCCGCGTATTGTGGCAGAGGCTGGTCAGTGGGCATTTTAGGAAGTTCTAAGCCTTTAACTACTCCGCGCCCTGTCAACATTTCGTCGTAAAAATAGGGGTGCCCCGTATTGCGGTAGGCTGTGCAAGCGCGTGCAATGCGAATTCCTGGCCCGCGAATTCCTGGATCGACAACAATACCTTCATTACCAAAGCGATCACCCACGCCACTGTAAAAACAGTATTCCATACAGCCAGGCTCACCGGTTTAAGCGAATCTGCTCTAGAGACGCTGACTTTGACACGAGCTCACAGAGGCTAAAACTTATGCTCGAGCAACAAAAATACCCCCCACATGTAATTAATGACGCTGTTCAAAAAGCGAGAAAACTAAAGCGTGAAGACTTACTTATGAAGCGACCACCACGAGAAGACCCACAACGAACAAACCTCTGCTTGACTTACAGCACAAACTTCCCCAATGTAAACAAAATCCTTAAACGACATTACAACATTCTGGAACAAAGTGAACGTCTGAAACGCGCATTCCCATCCGCTCCAGGCGTCGTTTACCGACGACCACGTAACCTCAAAGACACCCTTGTCCACTCCCAAATTAACACATCACCCCCCAATAATTCATGCCGCCCTTGCTTAAAGCCACGATGTCTTGTATGTAAGGTAATGCGAGAAACAGACAAAGCAACCAGCACGCAATCCAAGTTTTCGATTAACATACGAGGAAACCTAACATGCGATTCTTCTAATGTGGTGTACCTACTCGAATGCAACGTGTGTGGTATGCAGTACATCGGACAAACAGAAACACCATTTAGGATTCGCTTCAATAATCACAGAGCCCATGCGAAATCAGCCCCAAGTCTACCTCTATCAAAACATCTCAATCTTCCCGACCATGCATTCGACAAACTATCAGTAACGCTCTTAGAGGCGGGATTTAAATCAAATCGAGAACGTGAACAACGAGAGTCATACCTTATCCACCGATTTAACACCCTCGATAGAGGAATAAATGAGAATTCTGGTACACTTGCAGCAATTAAAGCATTAGAAAACAATAACGGCAACGATGAAAATAGTAACTGGGTTCACGGCACTGCAGCTGCGAAGGGCACTGGACAACCTAAAACAATTCCAAGTGTAACTACTCTTCCTAAATGCAGCTGTCGTCTGTTTTCTGTTTTATTTTACTACCCAATCAATTGTGCCATGCACGACATGCCCAACAGCAACCATGTGCACAGCCGGGAGGCCCCCACGACACGCGTAATTTAGAAGCGGGCCAGGAATTCGCATTGCACGCGCTTGCACAGCCTACCGCAATACGGGGCACCCCTATTTTTACGACGAAATGTTGACAGGGCGCGGAGTAGTTAAAGGCTTAGAACTTCCTAAAATGCCCACTGACCAGCCTCTGCCACAATACGCGGCCCCCGTCCTTCTACGACGAATTGTTTACGGGACCCCGAGCAGTTAAAGGCTTAGGACTTCCCGAGAAGCTCTTTTTTGCCCAACACCGAACCGCCAGTGCCAGGAGGGACCGTCTGATCGGGAGTAATGCGCTAGTGAACGGAAACATACACAGACCGCTGACATCAGAAAGGCGAAGGGGAGAGGGGGGAGAGAGATGGGGGGGAGTGGAGGGAAAAGTGGAAGGGGGGCACCCGAGGGGCGTTCACCGTATATTATTTTTATCTTTTTTCTTTCCTTTTCTTTTCTTTTTTTTTCCTCTTACCTTGCCCTCTGATTTGAGATTGTATCAAGCTGAGCACCGACAAACTGTATCTTTATTCCTGATGAAGGCCAGACTCTAGGCCGAAACGTCGAAATAAACCACGTTGTGACCGCTCACGGAGGATCTACTAGACTATATGCAACGCTACGGCCACTCAACCACCATGCCTGCCTATATATATATATATATATATATATATATATATATATATATATATATATATATATATATATATATATATATATATATATATATATATACACATACACACACATATATATATACATATATAGGCAGATTAACATGGCAATCGCTTTGTTTCAATTATGTATTCAAATACCGCAGAGGAGACGTCCCTGTGGCTATAAGCGAATTTAATGCTGCCAAACGACAAAATTACTGCCACATTTAATTCTAATCCCAATTTTTCAAGTGGAGCTACCAGGTATCTTTTCCGCTGATGAGAATACCGGCGACAGAACAAAAAGAAGTGATCTATCGTTTCCATTTTTTGGCAAGTCTGACATAAAGGTGACGCCTTTAGACCAACTTTATGCAAATAATAATTCAGTTGAGGAATTCTGCAACGCAATCTTGTAAAAGTAACTTCCAAGTGCCGTGTTGCACACCACTGTCTATTCCAGCGGCATCTTAGATGTGCGAAATCTCGATATTTATCCAATGAGTAGCAGTCGTATTCACGCAAACAGAGGTTTCTAAACCTTATTGCTGTCGCGTAAGCCGTATCAGGCAAAATCGGGATAATGGGACCGCTAAGAGATACTGTGGCTAGTGCATCCGCCATCTCATTGAGATATATGCCACGATGACCTGGTACCCATAAGAACTGCAGTTTTTTCAAGTTTGTCGGTATGAGTTGTCGAAACATGTGCATAAGTGTTAAGTTGGCTCCTGAAGACAGAGCAGCACATACTGAAAAAGAATCTGTAATTACGACTGCTTCCGATTCGCCCAAAGGAAGTTTCCGTAGTGCCAGTACAATAGCAAATAATTCTGCCATGAATATTGGTGTGTAATCTGGGAGTCTAACCGAAAAGGACCAGTCAAGGGAACGTGAGAAGATACCTGCCCCAGCCTTTTCATTTGATACGGATGCATCGGTCGCAATTATGTTGTTCAAGTTCAAATGCGCCAAGTAATCCTGCAGCCGATCATTTAAATATTGAAATGGCATTTGCTTTGCGTCCAAAGAAGTAAGCATTTGGGTTGATTAGGTTGTTGCTTCTTTTCAGGCGATGAGTGATAACAATAAAAATGGAGATACTTCGGGCGTAGTAAAACGAAATGATTTTAAAGCAACTCATGGTTGACTACAATGTTTAATCGGCAGTGTACTCTTAATTTTCAGAAGGCGGACAGAAAGAAGGACTCAATGAGGACTGCGGAAGCCGCCAAAAGCAGAGAAACGTACGCCTTTGACAGCGATGATGGCGATGAGGAGGCACGACTGGTGAGTAGTGAGGACGTTATGAGGAAATCCACAAAGTGGTGGTAATTACAATGCACGGAGAGCTTGGTTTCGTGCATAGTTCACAAGAGGAAACTCTGCCACCGTTTTCTGGTGGGATTGCATGAATGACCCTTCAGCCAGCTTCCATAAGTCTCAACATTGTTATTTTGGTTTGAAGGGGACTTGTGATATCATACCATATCGCTGAGTAAATGTGCAAGTGTGCACGGAGTATGACACTGGGAAGGTCGACAGATAGACGGGATATTGGCACCATAATTGAAAGACAATCTTAAAGGTGCGGTTTTTTTATCCCTATCTGTGGAATAGATCAACACAATGTCCTTTCACTTTTTTCGGGTTATATTGAAGGTTGACCTTGAAGCATCTCATGGCCTAAATTTTGCACAACACAGCTGTGGTACACATTCCTATAGATTGTGTTTCTTCATTTTAGTGAGATGCAGCAAAACTTACATGGTGGCTATAGCGCAATAATGCAATAAATTTATTATGTGTCAAATTTGACAGATTTCGATTTCCGGCTGCATACCACAGTGTGACAAAAAATTGAGGTTCAGGAGAATAGTATCAAGCATCTATTTGAAAAGGCCAATAGAAATGTCAAACTATCATTTATGCTTCTGTGGTGAAAAAAGACTGCTTTTTCAATCTGCTCCAAAACTCCAGCCAAAAAGGACTAAAGTGGGGTACGCCATTCGTTGTTTATGGTACTAAATAGGCTGCCACAAATTTTGAACCATTTTCGGGCTAAGTGCGGGAGCAACTCCAAGGGTTCAACTGTTACCAACTCGCACTTAGTCAACTTGGTTTAAATGTTGGTCCTCGTAGATTGCTCTAGTGGAACTAACAGTTGACCCATCTAGACGAATGGCAAAAAATGGCGACCATGCACTTGTGAAGTATATTTTATGTTTATTCTAATTTATTCAGCACTAAAGAACGCAGTATATTTGTCATGCAACACACACACATACATATGCATACGTATTATTGTTTCAAAGTAAAACACCGCAAACACTGACCACCCACGCTACACTACACAGAACGAGCTATCAATATATATAGGACAGCGTTTCGACCTCTCATGTAGTGCCAGTGGGCGACTTTTACTTGGCTTAAAAATAATAAACATTGGCACCGTAACGTCAACATTTACATGGGCTAATTCATAGCACCTAAGCGCATCGATCTTTTAATATGGATGCGTGTATTCTTCAAAATCCCTCCAGCCAGTGAATTCGAATTATCAACTGGCATTCGATCATGTCGGCTGAACCAGCGTTCGCAGTGCTGGTTCACGAGTTCCCAAACACAAACCTAGCAGCGGTGCTCATGCAGGAAAGCCGGTGAAGCAGCCAGGCGCCCCGCCGTTGCCAGACCGCGTCAGCTTGCCGACGGCGTCGCTAGGCGTACGAGGAGTACGGCGAAACGACCACCGGCGTTCACAACATGCGGCTCGTAGGTGGTTGTCGTCATCGTTTTACTATTTGTCGTCTTCGTTATTTTCGTCATCGCTATTCTATTGTCGAAAATGAACAATAGGTAGGTGTCCATCGTTCACGGTGTCTTACGGAGTTATGTAGGTATCTGTATACTTACAGCGGCAAGACCATTGACAGGCACGGTTCTTTCATCGTGCTAGTATGTCGCTCGCTGTGCACCGTTGGCCGCACGATTAGTCGTATCTGCGATCGCCTTCCCGCTTGATGTTTGACAACGATTGTCGCATAGAGAAAAAGACATAAGTTTATTTAAGCTTTGATTTGATTGATTTGTGGGGTTTAACGTCCCAAAACCATAATTTGATTACGAGAGACGCTGTAGTGGAGGGCTCCGGAAATTTCGACCACCTGGGGTTCTTTAACGTGCACTCAAATCTGAGTATTTAAGCTTTAGTGTAGGAGATATTGTGTTCTGCGAAAGAAATTGTATGCGACGTTTCTGCCGCGCGTGCCTGCAAGGCACTCGTACCGGCAGTCAGCTTGATATCGATGACGTACGAAGCCTACTTTTTCTATATATCGCTTTGAAGTTGTGGCCAGTGACTGCGTGGGTACACGCCCGCTAACTAACAGCTTAGTTTTATTATCGTTGTCAGCGTTCTTCGCAGTTCTAACTGATACAGCGCATTGAAGCGAGTTATCCGCATTGCCCGTGTTCACCGATATTTGGTTTCGACCCGCCCGAGCCGGCATGGCGGAAACACGAGGACGCTTGCTGTGTGGACTGACTGCGCGTTGTACTTGCCTCTCATAGCATCTTCTATTCGTTTCACAGTTCTTCGCTTTTACCGTGGCGTATAGCCCATATAACTTGTTTAGTGATCAGCGACCACGCCGAGCGTTGCACTGCAGCATCGACAGTAGGCGATTGCGGCGCAGTTACTCTCCCCGTTGGTCCCTTCATTACCTGGCGTTTGCGCACGACACGGACTGTTACGCATGTAGTCCCTGGTAAATGAACCATTCGTGCGTTGGTTTAACGACAACAGTTAGTTCAACTTTGCCGAATTTCAGCATAGAGTAAAAAGTACAAAACCTATTTTATGTTTTGCGGACAACACTGAGGCAACAAATCTGGCGGCGTCAAATTTCATTTGGCATATGCAAATTATGAGACACCATTGAATCGAATGTTTATACTTGGTTATTTATTATACCATGGTATGTTTGACATTGATACTTTAATTTAATGGGTTAGGAGCATTTTAGCTTTTCTTTATGTCTACAATGACCTGCAAGACCACGTGACATAAGACCATGGATAGACGACTAAGGTAATTTAGAACGGATTACAATGCTCACTTCTGTATGCAGTATGTGGAGATGTGCAATAATGCGGCATCGTTTCACTCGAAAACAAAAAAGGATCAGGCTCTTGTTGCTGAATATGCTACTACCATACCATTAGCAGCTTCAGTTTGTGAAAATATGGGCCAAGACGAATGTTCATAATGCTATCAGGCTAGTCTTGTACTCCAATATTTAGACAGCTTTCGCGTTTCGGCTATCTAATTTTCACTCGCTCTTCCACAGCAACTCCCAGTTTGCGCGCAAGCATATCCTCCCGCCATCACACATTTCAGCCCGTGTTGATCACCCTAACAAAACTAATCCCATCTTCCCGAGAACAAAAACATTCCAAAACTCGCCCTTAGCCCTGTCAATAACCAACTAGAATTCCTTGCCAGCTTATGTAGTCACTCTAACAGAATCATCATCCTTTCTGAAAGCGGTAAAAGTTTTCTTAAAAGTTCCAATCGATTAATGTAGTTATGCGGTGGTGTTGTTTATGTGAATTACTTCAATATTTTGTGTGTGTTATTCGCGCCTACACTTGTTACCTGGAGCCTATTGTATTTTGTTATCGTACCTTTTTTTCTGCTGAGTTTATATATATGTTTTTTATTATCCTTATCACCACTGTGATGTGTACTCTTTTTTTCAATTTTTTTCATTTAAGCTTTATATAATGATGGTTCTGAATATATAATGTATTTTACACATGTTGAAAATCTTCCTAATCCCCCCCTATGTAATGCCCTCCCGGGTCCTTAGGGTATGTATATAAATAATAAATAAATAAATAAATAAATTGTTCCGAAAATGTATCATCAATCCTTCTTGAGTAGCAACTCCTTCGTCCACAGCATAATCCTCATCGCAAAGTAGGACTCCTTTCATGCAAAGCAAAACCTCTCTAGAAATAATTTTGCCTCGTACATGACAGGTGTACAACATCCTTTTGGATGACATTGTTAGTAATAATTACAAACATCTGTTTTGCGATGTATTAGGCAACATTGTATAGGTAGCTTTTAGTGCATTGACAAATATTGTGCAAGTGGGTTGTGTGTTGTGTTAGGTAAGATGTAATAATGGATAAGAGTATTATAACATTGTATTACGCGAGATTAGCACACTCGCGCGCCTCTCAGATGATCGTGTCCTTCATCTTCCTTTACTTCGTACCAGGACCCTCGGGCGTTGGAGTGCCATCTCGGCGCGAGTCTGAAGAAGTGCGACAAAAGTAGGGTTTCACGCGCGAAACATGAATAATGTCTACAAGTGACGAACTTGGTGACGTATCGGAGTGCAATGGCGCTGTCTCCTAGTTGACGTCACTAACTTGACATAAGACTAAGTAGGGTCATGCGTATCGAGGCCAATGTTTTTTGGAGAGACCTACACGGCGACATGGTGACCAGAGGGGCACGTGGTCACCTGGGGCAAACGTCATATTACGATGCCGGTGGTCGTTGCGGGCTTTTTGCATATCCTGAGACTCGGTAAGACGAGACAGGGCAACTTGACGAGCCATGTGAGCCCGATCAATGGCTTCGCGAGCGTACTCGCAAGCAAATGACTTGAGAGGTAAGGTGGTTTCAAATGGCAATATGGGGTCGCGACTATATAAAAGATAAAAAGGTGAGACTCCCGTGTTGTCATGTCGAGATGAATTATATGTGAAAGTCACATAGGCCGACGTGGTGTGCCAGTCCCGATGATCTTCGGAGACGTACACCGAAAGCATCTCTGTGAGCGTGCGGTTCAGGCATTCAGTTGGTCATTAGTGTGTGGGTGGTAGGTGGTAGATAGCTTATGCGCTGAGGCACACGATCGAACGAGGTCGTCGACAACTTTGGATAAGAAAGAGCAGCCGTGGTCTTTAAGCAGCTGTCAAGGTGCACCGTGGTGTAAGATGACGTCCTGAAGAAGAAAATTTGCTACGTCAGTGGCAGAACTGGTTGGCATGACCTTTGTTATCGCGTAACGGGTCGCATAATCTGTGGCGAAGGCGATCCATTTATTTCCCAGTGTCGTCATCGGAAAAGGGCCAAGAAGGTCGAATTCCACGTGATGAAACGGTTCAGAGGGGACTTAGATTCCGTGAAGCTTTCCAGCTGGCAGCAAAGAAGGTCTTTTCCGGCACTGGCAGTGTTCGCAAGTGGCGACATATTGATGCACGGTGCGGTA